TCTGACTTACGGAGAGTAACGAAGTGACCGCAGGATAAATACACGAGGGATATTCCGAAAGAATATCCTGTTAGGCATACGTAAGCGTGCAAACGCAGCTTTAAAATGTCTCGTCTCCCGTGTTCATCCCCGCGATGCGAGAAAGACGCGAAAAGTCTCGCGCGGCTCGAGGAAACGCGAATGACGACGTGACGACGATAAATCTGTTGTGAAACTCTTCGCGCGAAGGAACTAATGAATTCCTACCTTCTTTCTGTTGCAGATCGAACTTCCTCGATAAAGTTGCCTGGCGGGATAAGGTGAGTCACTTCAGCCTCAGATACTTATCTCCCACGATTCTGCGTCTGGCGGGACGTAATGCACGAGCGAATTGCGATTTATTATTAGTCGCTCTTTCCCGAAAACGGGAACTCATAGCGGATATCACACCTACGCAATCCGCGCGTTCTCGCGGATACTAATTAAAGTCGCGCGCATACGCGCGCATCGACGCACTCGGAGTTATTCCCCGCGTAACGTGTGTTACGTCCCGCGATAGACGCTACGTGTAACCGATGCCGACTGAGTTTACGTTAGCGCAATATTGTGTCTTATCGGCGCTATTAAATTCCCGCGGCACACCAACACATCCTGTTTCAATAACGAATCGGCCGGCCCGCCCTTATATCCGTTACTGTGTTACCAAGCGACGACATTTTTACGACGGGGATCGTTGCGCGCGATATGGTTAACCGGACGACGTGCTCGAGATCATTCTTGAAATCCGAGAGACCCATGACGTTCCGTTTATGACGTCGAGAGTGATGTGGGCGGTCGTCGTCACGGTCCTGCGAAATCTCGCACCCACGGGAGCGACACCCACGGGAATCGAAAGTGACGCGCATCGCTCGGCCGCGTTCACCTGCATTCCGCCGCGACGGCAAATCGCGAATTACCGCCGATATGTCAATTGTCACTCGACTCGCGAGGATCTACAGCGCCGTAACGTGATCTATCACGCAACATTCGTCGCAGGCGGCACCGCCGCGATTGACGTCAAACTTTGCGGAAAGGTCATCAGCGCGATAGTATCGTCCAGCGTAATCGGTCGCAACCCGTCATATTATTTAATAGCGTTCTAATGAGCCGCGCTATTTAGCGGAGAACGCGCCGTACCATGCGAAACGTGAGCCACGTTGCTTTAGAATCGTGTCGAATGGTGGCAATGTGAGACCGATTAGGGGCGTGCAAAGCGACAGATATGAAACAGAACCGATAAGATGAGGCCTGAGGAACGCGCAAAACACGCGTGTACGTCTATGCATTAGACTGTGCATGCATCTCTGACATCGAAGTCAAGCTTCGACCATTAGGGAGTACGAGCCGCGCGTATTGTTCATTTAATTTTCCTCGTGAGTCGTTTGCCTTGATGCCGATGATTTCTCCTTCGTCGGCGCACCGCGGGAATCAACAGTATCTCGTAGATGCGAACGTAACGTTCGCTGGCATGTACGCTAATCAAGCGTGTCTTTTCTTTCATCGTCTCGCGGGCTCACAGATAAAAAAGTACACGTGCATCACGTCGACTTGTTGTTTATATCTAGCGCGATTGGACGTATGTGAGAACGTTTTCTAGCAACCCCACAATGTGCCGAGATCGTTAGTTTTTATTTTCAATTTTGTAAATAATTAAAAACCTGCAGAAATATAAAACATTTCGCAGAAATCATTCCAAAATTCTGTGTCGCGCTTCTTATTGGTGAACTAGTTTCACGTGCGAGAGACCTCTAATTTTGACAGATGCCTTCTGATGATGAAGTACCTCTCAGACTTATAGTCGTTACTTGAAACTCTTTCTTAAATAAGATGTATAGATTTGAATTTAGAGTTAAATTTTTCAATTGAATCGTGATTATTGATACATTGTCACGTTTACCTCAACTGGAAAACTCCAATCCGACTCTAAGCTTCGTATTAATAATCGTTACTTGAAATTCTTCTCAAGTGAGATACTCAGATTTGAGTTCCGAATTAGATAAGAGTTTTCAATTGAAGCACGATTACAAATATAGCGTCACTAAATTATATAATTTAACTGAAAAACTCGGAGCTAGTACTGTATGAAGATCTGAATATCTCATATGTGAATCAAATTCCAACGACTATTAATACAGAGCTAAGATTATAATTATTACTTGAAATTCGTCACAAGTGAAGAACTCAGATTTGGACTCAGAGTTAAATGAAAATTTACTCAATGGAATCGCAATTACAAATATAAATATCAGAATTCAGAAAGTAAGAAACTCAAATAACGACTATTAATACGCGGACCTTAATGACTAATAAGACGCGATTAACTTCATGTCTTGCAATGAGCAATGAACTTTCTTTGAAGTGAACTTTCAATTAGCAAAATGAATTGACGTCGTACTTCAGAGAATCTTCACCAAGTCATTCCGTTAACAGGCGAACGCGTTGTGTGTCCGGAAGCAACCGGGCGACAGATGCCGAAATTGACCCTCAGGATCACTTTTTCTCGGAAAGTAATCTGGAAATATAAGGATATGGCGTCACGAATACCGTTCGTGACGTATTTGACCCTCGGCAAACCGCAACGGGTTAACGTCGCGCATCCTCTGCGCGTGAATAATTGAACGCAAGTCATTGGCGGCCTTCTTTAGTGTCATCGCGAGCATGTACACTCTCGAGAACGTGAGTGAACGAGTACGCCCAACGAGTGCGCAATAATCTGCTTATAAAAATCATCATTACACGACATGACGCGCGGGTAATACCCGGCTATTTCGGACATTTCGGGAATTACCGGTGAATTTTTGTCGGCCGATGGCCTTGAATTCGATTAGCAGGTCGGGACTATTCAATTCTAGCAATGGCAACGTGACAAGTTCGAGCAACCTTCGCTCGTCCGTGAGAGAGAAAGAGAAAGTCCAGACGGAGAAATCACAATAGCGACGTCGCATTCATTCGTAGACGCACCCTGTTGCATATTGGCGCGACGTTTCGCTCCACTTTTGCGAGAATATATGCTCGCTGTCTCGTGGCGTTTGAGGAGAGTCTTCCTTCGTTCTTCCACGATGCTCGTCGGCACGAATGTTTTCGCGGGTAGTCACAACACATTCTCCGTTACGATTGAGCCGTGCGATCGTCCGACTCGCATTGTAGAGATTCGTTCTTTTTGTATTCAAGGCACCGCGAAGTACACGTCACGATACCAATTGAAATGCACCATCGAAACTGGAAACTCGTGAGATTGAACGAGACGATACCGCATGTATGTATATACATATACTGCCGCGTATGAAGTCGCGTCCTGATTCGACATAAAGTCGGTGAAGGAAAAGAGACACGCCACAACGCGCAGAAATCCCCGTGCCGAACTCCGTGACGTGCGAAACAGCACTGTGACCGCCGTATGGGCAGAAAGTTCCCAAAGCTCTCCGGTATCTCGCACGAGTCAGCTGTTTTCCCTCGCTTTTTCAACGATTCGGCGAAAGCTCGATGAGTAGTGTAGGTTACTCACCGCGAAAGTTCAAATTCGCGATATCACGCGCTGCATGCATAGTTACACTTCGTAGACACGCAATATCGCAATCTACTTCGCGCCGAAGCGTCCTCGTGTGTTCAACACGATCCACCGACTTTTTTCCGATCAAGGCAACTGGCGGCAGACTGTTTATCGTCACAACGTCGTATTGCCAGCAAACGTTTTGCAACATAAAAAATATGTCGCAGACATCAATGGACAAGCACAATCGGACGTCGGAGTGCGTAAACAAAAAAGACATTTACAACGTAAAACCCCTATCGACGATCGATCTTCTCGACCGACAGAGTGCCGACTGACCGAACGTGATCAATATAATTTTTTTACGTTACATACTCTTTCTCTTGCTCAATACACCGGACTCTTCGGCACTCGTCGATACAAAAGTACAGCCGCCTCGTGACACAATTGGAAAATCCTGGCAAGGTTCTCTCATAGCGCGCACTGTAGTTACCCGCTTAGAATAGTGAAGGATCTTTCCTCGTAACTTACCGGCGCGTCGAGGCTTTCGAGAGAGGGAGAGGTAGAGAGAGTGTGTTCAACGATCGTTAACAGGAGTTTCCACGTGTGTCACGGCGCTCACACGTTTCTGAATCGATGGACCTTATCAATTAATTACGTCCGAGCTTATCGCGAGACGTACCTGCGTGCAATTTACACAAACTACACGTTTCTCTCCACTTCGATGTCTCAAACATTCGATCTTACTCATCTAAACCGCTTCAATTCTGCGATTGTACATAGTAAAAAATTTTGTGTCAAGTTTAACATATCTCGCACGTCCCAATTTATCTACTTTAATTTTCATGTTAACTTGACATAAGGCAAATGTTTTTCACCGTATAAGTTACGATTGTAGACATCAGTTTGATAGAAATATTAATTGCTTGGACAAGCGATAATTTTCAAATTAATGCAGGGCTCTGTGAAATAGAAACACACACACACATACATACAGTGTCAATTTTTACGCATACCATATTGATGAGTGCTACGTGAGGGTGCGGTAAGTGCAACGCAACGGCGAGTCGGCAGTCTTCTGGTGACAGAAGAGCCGATAATTATGCAAGCCAAGCCCGCGGGATGACCTAATATACCCGGTCGGCATTAGAGCCGTCTTACAAACGTCTCCTCCTCGTCCTCCCGCCCTTCCTCTTTCGCCTCGTCTTTGCGCGGCGTAGCGTGATCACGCGCTAAAAATAATAGCAGACGGTTACAGCCAGACAAGATGAAGGCGTGCGTGAATCGAAGATTAGAGGAAGCACCGGCACCTTAAGGGTTGATTCATGCTGTACGGTTGTCGAATGAAATCTTAAGGTCATTCGCATTTCAGTTACGACCGAATTCAATTTTTATATTGCAGATAAAAGAAAACAAATATATATATATATATATATATATATATATATATATATATATTATAGCAAGGATGTTGTGTATTTTTTTAAATTAATATAAATTATCATCCATTACATATTTAATTACACGATGGCATATGAGATCAGTAATTTTTTTTGTTATTTGTAAGTCGACTCGCGCGTTCGATATTGGAATTGCATTCCCGATCTCTGCGCGTAAGTATATACATCCCTGTAATTCGATGTCTGGCAATCGTGATCGCGGATGCACTTTAGGTCCTAGAGATACATCCTACGACGCACTTGAAATTTAAAATAGCACACACGCAGAGCCACCGATTTGTCTTCAAACCGATAGTGCGGTTTCGAGAGTCGAAATCCAGTAGAAAATTCAGACGAATTTGACCGGAACCAAAGCGAGATAAGGAGCGGATTGATCGTACAAGAACAAATTTCCGGTTGCAATATTTCTGTCTTGTTACATTATATAGTCGGCGAGAAGCTAAGTTTAACATCTGTCATGCAACGCGAGAAGTCGGTACTACTACTACTAGCATAGACAAGATCACGGGATTTACATATACCGGGAAAAAATACTTGAAAATTTATTTGTCAGACATAAAATTCTTTTTTCTGTAAGTAAAGTTTATTTCTGTAAAATCAATTTTTATCCGGCAAATAAACTTTTAAATATTTTTTTCTCAATATACAGTTAATGTGCCAATGACTAGCGATATATTCGAAAAAAATGCGTTTTCTCAACTGAACAGACTTCTTAATTTCCCTTATCGTGCCGACGATTGACAATCGTCGTGAATATCGCTGTCCGCGATCGTAGTAATGGATCTTTCGTGCACGTGCCACGCCATTTAACTGCGAAATTAAATCCTGCAAGAACTTCTCGTCGCTCGGACCTGAAGTCCATGTGTGTGAGATTTCGACATGCTCTCGAAGATGCTTCATCAGTCGCATATGCGACGCGGCCATGATCTCGTATAAGTATATTCTTGTTCTTTTTTTTATTTGCGGAAATTTCATCGACAACTCGCGGGTATCCTTGGTACTCAATATGTGTTGAACGTCACCGAGAAGTATCGTGAACGATTGATCCTGAGTAATCGACCACGCGCGTATTTTACGCAGTACACACTCGAACAGTAGAATCAATTGCTCCTCGTGTAATTTATATATGTGAACTTCGCATTTACCGTCGAACACGATTATTAGAGGTAAATAATTGTCGGTCAAAAGACCCGATGCAGACGAATAGTCCTGATTCTTAAAACCTGCGTTGAAGTGAAGAACAGTTCAATCATAATTGCAGGAAAGAAATCTGCCTTTAGTATGGTCGCTTGCAAATCGGTTTTTGCAATCCATTTGCACATTTTTTATCGAATAAAGTTACAACGCTTTAAAATTGAAAATTACTGTAGACATATATGCTCACAACAATTGATTGTGAATATATAAAAATTACTCTTTAAAATAATATGTTCTCTTAATTTAAGATGAATTCTTTCCTCCGCATCACACTATGTACTGTCACTTCGACTCCTGTCATAATCGACTGCTGCACGAAAAAAAAGTATTTGATATTTGTAACTACAATCATATAAAAAAATAATTATTATAAATTGTGGTCAAGAAAACCATTTTCGTGTTAGAACCAAAAAATATAGATATATATTGGGGCCAAAAATAAGCATAATTTTAGTTAGATCAGCAATTTTTTTCTCTTTTATATACGCGTGCGCGGTGGTTTCAATCCTGACAAGCGTTGCAACTTCATTCGATAAAAAATGCGCAAACCGATTTGCAACAGACTATACATAAACAAATCGAGTTCGCAATAACAGATCATGAATTTGCATTATTGTGTGAGAGACGCGTCTTCGAAGACATCGAAAGTGATTGCGCGATGATGGATGACCGATTTGTCTCGCATTCATAATAAACAGGGGCTTCCCGATGACTATGGTTTGTGCGACAAAAACTCTCGATACGAGCTTATACTCCGATGTATCGGTCACGCGCACCCTTTTGTTTTGACTCCTGTCGCGCATCGTCGTTGACGTCGTTGACACGTGGATGCGTAGACCTCGATTTATCTTCGGGGCTTCGGAGTTCCCCAGCGGATGACCGTTGTATTGCCGAAAACCTCACGATAACGTGGCATGTCGCCGATCTCGCGACTTGACGGAACTCGTCGGTACGCACCGGATGCCGTCGTCGATGATCGCGCAAAAGCAGCGCACCTACTCGAACGAGACAGCCCGTTGATTGAACACCGGAATAAATGAACGCTGCCGTCGCATCTCGAGAAATTTTCAAGTCGGCTCACCGCCTTCAGACCGGTAAGCCGCGTTTTCCCTCGCGACATACACGGTATGAAACGGAAAAGCGACAGACAAGACAATACTTCTTGCCTCAAAAGAATGTACCCGACGTCGTAATTCCAAATGATCCGGTTGAATTGATTCCGGTCGAATTTTGCATTACATATGAATACTTGAAACTGTTAACATTGTTGAGACAATGTGCGAAAAAGATTTCGGCTTCGTCGCGTGAGATTTTTAAGCCATGCAGTTCTTGATGAATTATTTTTCCATGATGTGTTCCTCCAAGCCAACTTTTTCTTTAGTTTTATATAGCAATAGAAAGACGCATTCTTCCTAAAGATGTACACATGCTCCTCTGTTTGACGTACCGACTTCAAAGTCGCAAAATGCCACGGCGTGATCTTTGTTGCCATTGTTTGCCTCGGTATTTCAATCTTTCTGACCTTCATTCACGGACATAACTGAACAATAAACATCCTTATAACAGAAATTGCATACGAGACGATGAGAATGGGCTTTGGGTGGTCTCCACATGTTCGAAATTTTAAGCAGTATGGGTGAGAGACGAGAGAGAAAGAGCGAAAGACGGACGAAATGAGATAAAGAGAGGGCAAAAGAGCGGGACGCGGCTTCTATCGGACCCTGCCGTGCCTTTCGTACCTGTGGAATGTGGCCGATGTCTCTATCCGCTTCTTCTTGCCGTCACGAGGACCACACCAATCGATAATTGCCTCTTTCGAAAAATTGCCCCCCGCTCTTTCGGACGGCCAAACGCCGCTTTTTAGCGCGCGCGCCCGTACGCGCTCCGAATGCGTCCGCTCGCGTAATGCCGCGCGCGAAATCCCAACCGGTTGCTGCCTCGTGATCCTCGCGCGCGCGTCCTCCTCGCCGAGATTACCGTACTCGAGCGAGTACAACGAACTCCATCGCGAACACCACGAGACGCGATCGATCTAGCTCGTTGCCGTTGACGTCAATGTCGCTTTCATCGAGTAATCCTTCGTAACCGGAAACTCGAAGACACGTTCGTTTTCTGACGTTCGTAGACTGACGAAAGATGCTTCTGGATGAATAATATTTTTGTAGGAAACTTGTGAGATCTGTTTGGTCTTTTGAAAAGTTTCACGTAATGCAAGAAACATTTACTCGTAAGACATGCAAAAGATTTCAACTCGACGTAGAACTAACACACACATTCACACGAAGGATAACTTTTAGATAATTATATTGGCTATAATGAAGGACTTTCTAAAATGTTACAAAGGCTCGAATGAGGACTAGAATGATTACATTACTTTCCTACCCTTATCTTATTGTTATAAATATTATTATGAGGTACTCGTCTTTTCCTTCATTTTCTTTTTCTATTAATTACACTGGAAAGCTCTAAAGAGTATGAAATGTTAAATATTAATTACACTGATAAACTCCAAAGTGCGACCGTGCCAGGTCGCCTTACCGATTATTTCATTAATGACTCAAAATCTCGAGCGTTTCTTCCAGAATGAATTCCATGATTCATCACGTAATCTAAAGCGCCATGCCAAATACGTAAATAGTCTTAAATGTGACCTAAGCGACACTTATGAAACCGTTACTATCGGAAGCCTTGATACGCAAGGATCAGGGAGACATTATTACGATTATTCGGAAGGATCTTACTTGAAGTAGTAAAATTCTGAGTAAGCCTCGCATATTTCACGATTAGGATGACGAACGCGACATCGTTACGCGAGAGAACCTCACTGAGACGTGTTGAGTCGCTTAAACAGATTTCGGCCGCGTAATACGGACATATATGGCATTATTCGATCTTGTGCGCGCAACGGAAGTGAATAATCACGCATCTCCACATTTACACTCGCGTTTGTACAATGTTACGTATCGCTACGTAACGCATTAATCCCGTAATTTTCGCCTGTACTCTCCGACATAAGAACACGTAATCGATCGCTTTGAAGAAGTGAACTGAAACAAAAAAATAATTGATTCAATTAAAATTATAATTATTTTTAGCTCCAATCATATTTTCTGATTGTTTCAACACAAAAATGATAGTAGCAATATACATATAAGGTTATCATTACTAACATTATAGTAGAATTTATTACAGAAAGTAATATTTTACCATAATTATAATAATTATTACTCTATGTGATTATAGTTATAAATACGAAACATTTTTTTTCTCGATATAGTTGATTAAATCCTTGCTGCGGTATTGAACAAAATCTGTCAAAATGACGGTAAAATTTTGACTTTTACGCATCAACCGTTAACATTTGGTATGAAGGGCGTCGAAGAATAAAATGAGAGTAAATCTGCTTAGTTTGCGAACACACACCGATGAATTGGATCAGATTACACTTTAGATCCTTAAATACATCCGGCCGAGTCACAAATCCAGGATGAAAAGGTATTTACGGACTGAGCCGTGAATTCTTGCGGGTATTTCGAAGTTACGTTGCTTTAGAGCTTTAGAGCTGCGTTAGACATTCGTTCGTTCAAGTAAAGCGTAATAAACGCCCCGTATTCTGTGCACGTGTATTGGCACGTAACGCATTATCATCGCGCGCTGCATCTGTATGCGCATAACAACACAGGCGCGATATTAACGATCGTCGTTAGTTAAAAACAGGTTTCGATTACGCGAGAATAAATCTTCCTCTTTTTCGCGTCGGGGGAAGATCAGAACACACGTGGCGCGCGGACGGGTACACGTGTACCCGATACATACCACCCGTTGCACAATTTTGAGGCCTCGCCTTGAGAAACGATCTCTCGTTTTTCCATTCCACGGCGCTGCGCACGTGTTCTCCGTTGCGCGCAGTTCCCGCGATTCTCCTCTTGTGTTTCCATCGAAGTGATTATCGGCTATGATGATGGGCATTACGCGTTGATGCGTGACTATGAGCGTAATGGCCAGGCCGCGATACGAAATTAGACTAATTTCCATAAGTAACGAGTCCTATGTGTCAATCTTGCAAAAGCCGGCGAGGATGGATTCGTCACACACGCGACCCCGGCGTGCGCATCGCGCATGTACCGTTTTCGGCGGAAAACGGGCGCGTTTCCAGCGAACGCAATGATCGCGTTTGACTCATTAATTAAGCAGGACGTTCCACTTGGCGCTCGCTCCGTTCCTGCCTTTTTTTGTTCTACTCTTTTTTCCTCGTGGACCACGCGACCGCGCACGTTTTCTGCGTAAACTCTGTCCAGTCACCACTTAACCCCCCTCTTAAATGGCCCGTTGTAAATTTAGACGGAAGGAAATGCGTACATGTCAAGTGCCTGGAAGTATGCGACACTGGCGTCACGAATCACAGGCTGTTTCTTAAATTATAAGCTTGCCCATCTTACGCGAGCAGCTCCGCATTCCACAGCGGCGCCAAGTTGCATGAAATTACAAAGAGATTAGGACGATAAAGAGAATTTCAAAGAGCTTATTCGCTTCTATACGTGCTGACTAGAGTTTGCTTTTATTTTATTTGACCACGATAAGCTTGATATCGGCGCGATAGGTTAACGTGAAGAATAGCGAAATACTCTCGTTATATCGTTTCTGGAAATTGCACGACACGCTGCGCGAATAAAGTTAAAGTTTGTGGCGAAAATATTCATCAGGAATGCAGGTGAATTGCGTACGTAACGATTCTCGGAACGATGATCTATCGAAATTCAAACGAAATCGTCCGCTACGGTAAAAAATGCTTTCATTTGCGAACAACTTGTGCTCATTTTTAATACCCGACGCGATGTTATTCTCGCGTTGCCATTAGGAAATCACGTACATTCGGTGAAAACGTTGGCGCCGTATCACGCGTGATAAAAAAAATGACAGAGCAATGTGCAAGAGTATATTAATGCGAACGTGCGGAATGTAAGAGTTGTGATAAAAATGTGGGATTTTACCGCGCGGATTAAAGGTCAAATTTGTAATTTCTTAAAAGCTCACAGTCTGTTTAATGCGTGTTATCTATGAATTTTATAGGCGGAGAGTATCGCGTTCTTAAAAGCGACATTTCACCTAAATTGAGGCGTTTCCGACAACTTTATATTTATCCCAGAGGGTAAATTCATTTGGTGTATTTGCATACGCCGCCTCATTTGCGTCATATGCACGCAGTTTTTAATCAAATTGTCATCTTTCCTTATATCGTCCCATCACGTCGCATCACGAGCACGTAGTGCCTTCGCATAATGCGTGATCTCACACGGACAAAAGCCGTGAGGGCGGTCACGTAGAGCACATTCTTCAAATTAAGATGCGCCTCCCGATACAATGTGTCACTCGCGCGTGTACGCTTCTTTATTAACTAAATACGCAAAACGGCGCACGAAGTGAGTCGAGTGAACCGACCGGATATATAATTGAATATTTATCGCAGCGTAGAGTAAAAATATTCAAATCTAATTATCACGTATATAATATATTGCATCATATTCGAGCAGTGTTGGGCGATAAAAATTTTCTTTGACTGAAATAGCCGGCAAATCAGTAATCGAAATTAATCAATCATGTATAAAATCGTTAATAATTTCATCGATAACAAAAATTAGTTATTAATCAGACTTTTATACGATTGATTATATTATATTGATTATATTAATAATTATAACTTCATCAATCGAATTATTTATGTTTTTATACATGACGATGGAATAATTTTGATTATTGATTTGCGCCAATCACTTCATATCTACTTTATTAACGGAGAAACAATATCTTTGGTAATGAAAAAGAAAAAAAAAATTGTTTTGGTCAGAAGAAAATTTCAATCGATCAATGCCCAACACTGTATTTGATTATATATCTCTTTCAAAAGAAGAAATATAGACTTGATTGAAATTGTACTGAAATACGAAAATTAATCATTGTTTCTATCATTATTATTGTTTTCGATTTTTATTTTATTTTGCTTAACGACTGTACTGTGAACCAAAACTGTGAGCAAACGATAAAATAGTTGGGAAGAATCTCATCGTCTTTGCAATCGAAGTGTGATGTTAAAATGCTAGATAAGAGTCATTGCGTATAGCAAATCTTACCAATAAATTCCATATATCGTTCGCGCGACACTCAATATCTGTCCTTAATGGTGTACATCATCTTATTAACCTAGGTCATTTATTGGCAATACTTCCGTCAGTCGTTTTGGGCTGCATGACATGTTACTTTATCAATAAAGTCACATGATTTTTATCAACTGTACTCGTGTGAGAAGTGTCAAACAGTATTTTACCAATACGACCGCCTCCCACCGATAATCTTGTAGCGTTATATTTTGCCCAAAATTCAATTACTCCTGTTCCTTAATCACTTTGATGAACAACGAACAGTCAGACATCGTAAGAGAGAAAAAATGCCGCAAGTAATTAGAAAAAACACATAATGTTCTTATATCTGTAAATAAGGTTTTTCGTCAAAAACACTATAAAAAGCAGCAGACAGAGAATTCTTTTTTTCGCGTGTCATTTGCCGGTATTGCGTTACATGAGGCAATCGATGACACCAAAACCTATCGACTGCTGTTCCGTTTGGTCCATCCGCCTTTCGATTTCGACGAAAAATAATATAACATCATGCCAAATATGCATTTCCCGTAATCCATTCTCGTTTTAAACCAACAAACATAACTTCCTTAATGCGTGAAGTATGTTTCAAAAGAGGAAAGTAAGAAAACATCAAGTCACGTTCTTCCGCAATCATAAGAAAATGTTGCCATTATATAGGAAAGAATCTTCTTACCCGATCTAATTATTGTAATAGACATCTCGACAGTCACGTAACAATATTACGTGTAATTAATCCTATTACAGTTAATTAAAATTCCTTCATAATTTGGTTGTCTGGACCGTTCATTGTTAGCCGATCGAATTCCTCGAAAATATTCGTCAGCCCGGATCCTGTGTCCGAGAAGAAGTACGTTCTGAGAAAAAACCACCCCTCGGCGTTGGTGGTGCTAGCGTCTTATGAGATTCGCGGGTGCTTCTCCAAGTTCAGCCCACCTTACGTACAGACGTACGTAAGCATTTAAGAGTTAGTGAAAGGAAACGTCATCATTGTGACTTCAAGTGGGAGGCAAAAGAGGATACAGACAGTTTTGGGTGGGGAGGTCCGTGCACTCATGGTGAGAAAATTCGAGGCGAGAGAGAGGGGGCTCTTGTCCTGGACCGCTCGGCCACACGGAAATCTCTCCTCGTCCTGAAGAAGAGAGAGAGAGAGAGAGAGAGAGAGAGAGAGGGAGAATTCATTGGTGCATCGGATAACACTGTGACTGATTTCATATCGCTATCCAATACGATGATCACGATAGCCGTTCCATACGATACATTTCATCTGATGACCAATTAGAGACGCGATTGTAACGGAGACCGAATTAACGAGTCGCTAATCACCGGTCGACGGGTGCTAACTCGAGGCGCGAACTTTTCCGACGAAGGCGCGAGGTATCGATTTGTTAGGCGAGATAATGCGCGTAAAGGAACACTTGCTCACAGCAAAGCGATGCTCGAGGCGTGCTCGTTGTTGTCGCGAACAACTCGGGGATACCGGACTTTGCTTTCGGAACGATCGTTTAAGCTTGGCTCGAGCGGGATCAATCTGGCGCCGACGTCGTCGCATGAGACGACGTAATAATTACTGTCATCGTCATCGTCTGCTGTTGTTATGTCTACGGAAATGTACATATACGCGCTCTGACGCAGTCACGCTGCGAGGAATCGCGACCCACCATCATTAACGGCATTCATCAATGCCACGCAATGATCGCGAAACCCGACACTACGAAAGCACTCGTATGCGCGAGATTCTCGGCCGTACAAATGCCGGGGATAACAAATGGTGTGACATCTTCGTCGACGACAATAATTTGCGGAATCGCACGCACGATTGACGCACTCGTTCGATAGGGATGTTTCCATACTATAATTACCCTCGTCATCGGATTCGTCTTGCGTACAATGCCGTATTAATACACCGTTGATCCCATCGTGGAGAGAGCACAAATTGACTAACTGCCGCGATACAAAAATAGGAAAGATGTCAACGGTGATACTTCGCGCAGGAATTTACTCCGTGATGCATACATAGCTTTGAAGAGCGACAATTACGTAAAAGGCGCTTTCCACCAATGAAAACATCTGCATCGGTTTGTTTAATGACATTCTGGACTTTATACGACGGACAAGATAATTAACTCATAGCGTCACAGATAATTTAATCATAGTGTTTGAATGGAAAAAAAGGAAAAAAATAATCACAAAGTTGCCTGTCTTTTTACCGTACTTTTGCGTGTACGAAATGTAATAAAACCAAAGAAAACGTAAAAAGGAGACACGAGAAGAAGCGAGACATGACAATTCACGAAACTGGAAAAAGTGACTAGAAGACTGTAAAGAAGAAAAGACAATTTTTTTGATACTTGAATAAAATGACTCAAGAAATGCAAGAGTTATCTTAGCAAATACCAAGTAACAAGAGGAAAGAAGCTCGGTATCGTACATTCGTGATACCGTGGTCATGCCAGTGAGACTCGTGAGATGAGACTACAATGTACGGCGGGCCAAGCGTGAGTCGACGTTAGCATTGCATCGCTTGGTGACTAGCGTCTACTACGTACGCATGGTGGGGACCGAGTAAGGATCAAAGTGGGGATGGCGGGTCGCTCGCGGGGAGTTATGAATGAGTCGCGGAGTCCTGAACCATCAGACCCCCGCGGTGGGGGCAGGAGTCGCGTTGGAGAACGCGAACTGTCCAGGAGGAGGGAAGAGACGATGGGCGAAGGAAGTGGCGGCGGCGGCGGCGACGGCGACGTCGATGGTGAAGAGGAGGAAGAATAGAAGATGAGAAGAGGTAAGAATCCAAGCGCGGGCGTTCGAGGAAGGGCAAGGATAGTAGGGGGGGACCCCGCCGAAAGCGGGGTATGGGCCACGTGCTCGGTTGCTTTACAATCGTATATAGGCACCGCTCGACCGACTGGCCAGTACCATACACTGACAGTCACACCGGGGGCGCACGAGGTGATAGGAAGAGTGAAAGAGTTGCGCCCGTGCAATGAAGAGGAGGGAGACGGAAAGGAAGAGAAGACGAGAGGAATAAGAAGAAGGAAGAAAGGAAACGTAGGAGAATATACAATAGATAGAGACAAGGCGATCGCGGGAGACGACGATCTACGTACACGTTCAAGGCACAGACAGACAGAAGTCCACTTCCATTCCCTTAGACAGGTTCACTCCTACTACAAAGAGAGACGAGGAGCTTGCCTGCCTCCGTTGGTTCGTTCGTTCGTTCGTTCGTTCGTTCGCTCGCTCGCTCGCCTGCCTGCCTGCGTGCCCGCTATCCTGTCAGACTCTTCGCCTGACTGGGTTCTCCTTCTCCGTGCCTCGGACGAAGGCGACGAACATCTCAGTCACTTTCTGACAATCGCTTGCGAGGCCAGACTACCCTTTCGGACACCCGCTGCGAAAGTGACTAGTAGTAAAGCTACCGGTGGCAACGTAAACGTGACAGAGAGGGGATGCACGCCGGCTAGAAGAAACGGGGCAAGAGAGTTGGCAGAAAAAAAGGACTACCATTAAGACAGCCTTTAATAATTTACATTCTCTGATTGTTCCTTTTTTTTCGTACGAGTTCTCCCGCCACTTTTTTTGGGTGCACACCCCCGCCCCGCCGTACACAGCCTGGGGGACTCCTTCAACCCCCATTCTGTCCGCGTGTATAAAAATCAGTGCGTCGCGTGTGCCGGGACCAGTGTCAAACAGATAGTGATTCTGTGCGGACAGTTTGTCAATTTGCATCCAGTGTTGTGCGATAACAGCTATGGCGTCTGAGAATGGACTATGGTCGGAAATCAAGGCCATACTGACTCGAGATGACAGGACTACGTCGCATAGACTCATTGACCGTTTCGCGGACTTCCGCGCTACCACGGCGTCGATGACGATGAGGTGGTTGAAGCTTGGGGGTAACGCGATTCCCCAAGTAAACTCGCAGTGTCCGTCCACGGCGTCCGACGACCACCGGAGAGTATACACCGCGAGGCGAAGCAGATCTATAAGCGATCGAGTCAGGTGGTTAAGTAAGTCAAACATACCGTCAATTATATTGATCATTTACATAAAATCGTAATCTACCCGACTTTACGAGTCATCATCGAGCCATTGGCTAATCAACATCGCGCAATGAGATTTCAAGGGTTCGCTCCGAGATAATCCAGAGGAATCTCGCATCGGGGCTGCAATTAACACATGGGGGAATTGGCGCGAGGCTTCGCGACTTCTATGTCAGGTGGAACACCGACGTCAGGTGAATTCGCAAAGTCAGTACGTGCATTTCCGCGACGGCGGCGTTACGAAAGCTTAGCGCCAAAGCGGCGAACACAAAACGGGCTCGATGCAAATGAAGCAAATCCTGATACGATGTCCAAATCAATTCGGAGAAAGCCTTGCAGCCGGAAAGAGGATGTCTCCTTAATGCCGACAATGATCGCGCGAATGATAGACCATTGCCGTTTGCGACACCCAAAATATTGCTAAAATAATTACGTAATGCTGTCCTGTTGCTGCATGCGACACTTATGAGTCAATTCGCTTTGCTCATACATTATTTGTGTGAGAATCTACAGAAGGTATACATATATATTTTTTTATCAACAATGATGCTCTCTCGAGCTACCATTCGTTACTGCATTGAAAGGAAAAATGACTGATCCAACTGAAAGTATAACGATTTTTGGTATCAGCCATATTTTTGGTATTCTAACACGAAAATGGTAATAATAGTATGCACATAAAGGTTGTTATTACTATTATAAAAAGAATTAATTAAAAGATGGTTTTGATTATAATTTACAGTAATTATTTCTCTATGTGATTATAGTTACAAATACAAACGGTATTTTTTCTCAGTGTGGGATGATATTACGACACACGGCACTTCCATACGCAATCGACTGTACATAGTAACTTTTGAGCTGACTTTCGATCTATTCCGGCTTGTTGACTCATATTATGCGGCAAACGATATTAATTTTACGATACCGGCATATTGGCGACACGCTTTCCACTGTCAGTGGCAAGCGTTAAGTGCCTACGTTAACTTTAACGACGTATCATTCTTTGCGCGCGTTTCCCTCAATTGATTACTGTTTTTCCAAAGATGATCGTGAAAATTTATTGCACAATGCAAACTATATCTCCAATCAAACTTCCCTGATACTCACCGCATATTCATGATATGCGTTACTCGACATCAAGCCGAAAATGCTCTGTCGTTAACGCTTATAACATTGTAAGCGAGTATTCAGATACGAATCACTCGAAATGCAGGTGGTTTCCGCAAAAATTGGCGCGTCTTCTTCTGCGTATCGGCGGTACTAGAAATATTAGTAGTTAACGCGATTACCAAACGTGTTGGCCGACGCTCTTCTACTAGATTTATCATTCGTAGCATTCTCTCTGTCTCTCTTCCTCTCTCTCTCTCTCTCCTTCTCGCGAGTTTGACGTCATTTTCGAGCAAACCGCTAAGCGTATTAGTCATGCAACTCATAACGGTCTCCCTTATCGATTCTTTATTTGGGCGTTCGCGATGTGATCTGCCCGCTTCTCCCACAAGTCCTCGTGCAAATACAAAGTGCATTATCGTAACTTGGAATTTCCTCGAATGAATCCGACAGAGCGCGACGACACAACATACAAGCCCGTGACGCGCTACATTTGCCTAGTCCCACCTGTTGAACAGCCGCGGTCGCCACAGGTGGTTCGACCTCTCCCCCGGTATCGATCCGCGGCCGAGACACGCGATGTCTCTCGTGTCGGATGCCGAAACTTGCGTCGCGCTATGAAATCGAACGAATCGTCGTCAACCCCCGTGAAACCTCTCGAATCGGTAATAACGCTCGCGAGCCTCGGCGTATCGACGAGCCGTCAGCGGGATTCCGCCACGTGTGTGCAAGTGTGCGCGCGCGTGTGTGTATCTGCTGTCCGCGGAGAATCGGCGGGAAATGATCTACAATAAATCGAGCGACGTGTACGCATATAGGCGTCGCGTATCGCGACCTACCGCAACGCGCCTCGGTCCGCGGACGCGAACGGAAGAAAAGGGAGTAGCGGGTCGGGCGTAATGGGGTATAATTGTCGCGAGCAATGCGAGGACAGTGCGTCATTACCGCATTTTTCACCGTCTTTCTTGCCGGTCGACAGCAGAGATGCTCTTTGCACCGGTGTTCACTAGCTTTGCGCACCATACTTTTTTCAACGCGTCCGCGGGCTCTCGAGGAATTTCGATGGAACGCCGTCGTTGAGCATCGCCGTTGAGGTAGGCCCTTCGCGACGCGCATAGACACCGTAGACATGGCTTAAGGTTAAGTTACAGAGGATCTTTAGGACGAAGATTTTGCAGAGAGAGATACGACGGACGAGTCTGCCGCCGGCCGGCCGAGCGTTTGACGAATCGATGTTTGTTGCACGAGGAAATCTACACAACAGATGTTGCGGGTTGAAATTTTAATCCTACTTTGAACTTGAATTTTTTAACATTTATACATCCTGAAGGAGCAGTGCACGCCTCCAAATGGCAGAAAACGCACAAAATCCCAAATGTGTCCTAAAGAAGAGCTGATAGGTTAATTAGAATCAACAGAGGTTGACATAGGTTTCAGAGTATCAAAGTAGACATTAAGTGAAATATTGAGATCGAAAGCAGGACCAAAATTTCGACTCGAACAAAGGGAACAATATGAAAACAACGGCGTTGGCACATCGAGGACAATAATTTTCTGCCGCATATCGACGCATGGCACTTCTGCGAAAAACAATTAAGTCCGCGGCGCGTAGTTCCTGGATTAGGTAAATGCAAGAGTAAGCGCTGCGAACGGTAGGATCGCGGCCGGCCGCTTGAATTTCTTTCCCTGCGAGAACGAGAACCCGTCTGAAAGTGCGGCCGCGTGTCATTCGCGTATCCCTTTCTCTGCCGACAAATTTGACCGATCATGGAGAGACTAATCGCATGGCAATTAAACGTCCGCGAGGGAAAAAAGGCGGTAATTAAAGAAATAAGAGAAAGTAAACGACGCTTCTCGGGACGAGACGAGTAAGGAGATACGGATGAAACGCACGCGCGGGTATCGGGATCGCGAATCGTTCGCCAGGTTCGCGCACAAACGCGCGGATAAAAATACCTGCAGAACGAGAGCGCTCCTCTCGTCGTTTCCCGCGACACCGGCGTTTTCGTATATGGACGAAAAGTACGCTGCAAGTACACACGTGTTTCTCCCTAACATCATTAGTGAGCATTAATTGGACGCTCTCCGTCAGGATTCTCGCGCCTTCAACGGACCCCGCCGTCGCTTGCGCCAGCCGTGACGAAAATAAAGCTAGGGAACGGACACTTTTATTGACGCGACATATTACGCAGCAACCAATTACGAAAACAAGAGGAGAAAAAAGGGAGAAAATAAATGAAACGCGCCTACATGATTGCGCACTGACCTTCATATAATAGTCTTAACATATGAAGTTATACCTTATTAAAGAGTATAATGTATTACTTTTGGAAAAAAAAACATCTTAAAATAATATGACTCCATATGTCAAGGCTATTACATGATGTTGGTCTGTGTACGTATACTGAAAGAAAAGATGCTTGATCTCATGAAAATTTCAATCATTTTCGAAATCAACTATCCGATTGAAACTTCATTCACAGTTCATTCACAGTTTATATCAGGCAAACCCCATTCAATTATTTAGATCTTGATAAATCAGCATGTAATGCAGCGTGGCAATAACAAGGATCATTAATAATTACGACCCGATAATATTATCTTATACAAATCAGACGACTGATTAGAATCAACCTGATAAGGACCGTGGGGTAAACTTCCAGTCGGATATATTTTCCTGTTATTCTAACAGAAAAAATAGTAGCAATATGTATATAAAAGTCTGTTATATCACTAATATTGCAATAATATTTACTACAGAAACAGTTGTAGCAATAATTCTTCCACACACTACACGACTACACTAAACTTTTTTCTCAATGTACCATAATCGCGACGGTAATGCGCTGCGACAGGCCAGTTCACGTGCCGATGACCTGCCGTTTCTCGTTTCGCGATGACCCGCCTATGAATGCGTGTCCCGACGCAAATCGCACGATTGAACGCGGCGTTGAAGCGCACCGTCGTCGCGCTCTTTCTCTTTCTCGCATTTTCGCAAACAGGTGGTGCATCCTCCAACGAAATCGGAAGCGCGGTTCTGCAGCGTCACTTTGGGGCGCAAACTTCCCCGCGGCAAATTGCTCTCTCATCGCGACGCAGAACGCACTTAAGAGCCGCTCATTAATATGCGTTAAGTGTTCGAGGCGTCTCCCTACGCGGCCCCGTCCCGCTCCTCGTTTTCTCCAGCATCTCGCCGCTCTTTCTCCGTCTGCGCTTCTGTCTCCCTTCCGTCCGTGCGGCGCGTCCGCCGACTGCGTTGCAGCGTGCGTTCGTTCGTTCACATTAAAATGAAATTCGTTAACGTCTCGTAGATGGCACGACGCGCACCTCCGGCTTTCGGCAGAGCGCGCCTCTGCTCGTCCCATCCGGCGAAATTTCAATACCCCGTGTCCTCCTCCGCTTAGCAAACTACCGCGTTAGCCATGTCTGATATTTTAGAAATGCGGCGAATCCTGCTGAATAACAGCAAGACTGATCAGCAGGAGGAATTAATTTCGATCATTAATTCGTCCCCGTTACATGCGTTATCCTCTCGAACGGTAGTTCGTTAGCATGCGAGGGACAAGTTTCGGTTGTAAAAGCGACGTTCTCGACAGATTGACGTCCGGCAGCGCTGACAAACGGCGGAACGGCACGTTCGTGGGAGCGAGAACGTTACATTTCATCCGACAACGCACGATCGGCATTCGATTTTTCGGAGGCTCTCTCGCGCAACCGCAGCGAAGCTGCGAGGGGGTTGGCAGGGGCACGGATTAAATGCAGACAACACGCATCGTATACGGCCGTCGTTATAACGTCCTCCAAATGCGTGCGCAACTGTTGATGGTTTGTCGTCGTACACGCTGCACGTGATCCGAGGCCCCTCATCAAGGGTCGTAACTCGCGTAATAATGCGACGACGAATTCGCGGGGACGTAATTCGACGAGCGGTGATCCCGAAACTGCCGGATGATCATAAGACGGCCCCGATCGGAATCTACCATTTGGCCGCTCACTATCGACGAGTGAGTCCCCGAGGGTGAAAACAGCGTGCGAAGAACGCTGGGGCCCGGCGAGCCGGAAGCTCGATGATAATTTCACGCAGGCATCTCGCGGCTTTCACGTTTAATCGTTGATTACCGACGCACATTGAGACGTGCACCGTCGTCTTTTCTTTTCGCAGGCACGCGGACAATTCCGTTAATGATGCCCTGCCGAGGAGTTAGTGCCCGTCGCGCGGAATAAATGGGCCGCCCGAGATCCCGCGCGATTTGCAAATTCACAATTCGCGGATCGTGTCACGCGGCAGGATCGCATTAACGTAACTGTTTCGTCGATTTCTCCGTTGGCGAGACTTCCTCTATCGCACGCCACACCCGCGAGTGTGTATCGTGACGCGAAAAACGCGACATATACGGGACGGGCCTCACGTACGCGAAGGATCAGAGAAGGGAACGCGTCCACGCGATCCGTCCATCGATCTGACTTGTATTCCAGTGCGTCAGCAAATGTTATTTTTCATTAGCGGAATGTCGGTCGAAAGAAGGAAAATGCACGAGTTTTCCCGCACATTTAACTTATGAATAAGAATTAATTTACCAGCGTACTCAGTGGCATCGGTCAAAGGAGTGTTCTTATGTACTTAAGCTTAAAAATTGAATGTCACGAGAAGAAAAATCGAACGCGATTCTCTTTGCTTTCAGGATTATTTATTTGGACGTGCTGCTTCATCGGAGCAGTGCACAGCGCTCCAAGAATGACGGACGACGACGACCGAATGAACAGCACTCCCAAGTGGGTGAACCCATGTGGCCTGTCCGGCGACTACTACGTTGACTCTACTGTGGACGTGGTGCAAATAGGAGACGCACAGCTCTTGTCGCAAATAGAGACGCAGGCGAAAACGGCATTAACACACGCGCGCATTTTGCGCGATGACTACGTAAGTAACGTACATACTATCTATCGGTGCGATTCCGCGAGGTAACAAGCGTCTCGCGGCGTTTCTTCCCTCATTTCCGAATTTTCACGGTCCGCGTATATCTCGACAGACCGCGACGTGCCTTATTCCCATACGTGAAATATCGACAGTTCAAACGGACGATCGATCGTAGCGGCAATAATTATCGGCGTGACTTCTGGGAGGGGATCGGATAGAGCGAGAGAACCTCGAGCGGAAGGCAGTTATGGTAGTACTTCCGGCCGTCCGTCGTAGATCCATGAGTCGCATAGACCTACGAAAGAGATCTCGATCTTGCAAAACGTGCCGCGTCTTCGTGCCGATCGCTTTGTTAACCAACATGCTTTGATATCCCGCTTTTACGCTCCTCGCTTTTTTGCATGCGCAACGCGAATATTTTGGAATCGATGTATTTCGCTTCAGATACAAACATACGCGTATTCAGGGAAAATAAGTCTGCATATTTGACAAAAGAACTTTTAATTACAGCTCGTATTTCCCTTCTGATTTAATCATAATCATACATCGAGATTTGCCAGCAATTTTGAAAATTTGGATAATATCTCGGAGTAAAATTTCTCTTATTCGTGTATCATTATCAGCAATCCATTTTTTTAATACTATTATTGCGTACTTTGTAATATTATTTCTTTTCTTAATTTGTACGAATAAAATTATTATTATTTTATAATATATTAATTGTTTCCAATGAAGTAAACGTTATCGTATTCCAAGAAATATAGAAAGTATGAAAACGTTCAAATCAGGGCTGTGAGAAGGAAGATATCTTTATCTATTAGGATTTCCGAGTCACCTATCGTTTTGCTGTTGTTCTCATGAAAGAAGAATCGACAAGACATGGCTTGGATTCAGCAGATAATCGTTCTTACGAGATAGATAGATAAATACAACTGCGAGAGATTTTCGTTTCGAAAGAATCTTCTCAACCAATCGTACCTTATTACCTCTCTCCAAGGACAATAAATCACGCACCGGACCCGAGCGGCTCCTCAAGGTTCCTCTCTAGAAGCGAACCGTAAAAAAAAAGACCAAATCGAACGGCAACGAGTAAAGGGGCAAAGGCGATGTTTCGCGTGCGGAATTCTTCACTTTTCGAGAAAAACCGATCATTTTTGCGCGCGGTCCAACAATCGAGACAACGCGATTCCTCTCTTCTCGTGTCTCTCGCGTACCTCGACCGTATCCCAATATCGCGGAAACTCAAACAGGAAGCAAGAGAGCAGCGGTGATTGTTAGACGCTAAACAGCCGCATTTTGTCAAACGATGGTACTCAGGAGTAAAAAAAACCTGCTGAACAACATCGGTCAAGACCAGAAGACAAAGACCCCCCTTCCGCTCAGCTCGCGCGAAGTAGGTGTTTACCCAGGCGATGCGACGCGAGTGTATGACCGAGTGAATTAGCATTCGTCGCGTGCATCGAGAAAGGGTACTTGTGCCTCCTTGCATTACAGGGTCCGTCCGTCTCGCCCTACGGCCGTTGCCGAAGGCGGTCTAGAGAGCGTCCCCGTTACATCATCGCGAACAGAACGATACCAGATACCGGTGTTTTCTACGTCAGCGCATAATCCGATATCGTACGAGCCGTAAACTCGCTCCCACCCTTTGCTGAGAAAGACAATAAATCGCACACGTGTAAATATCTCGCAAGATATAATAGGCGACGTGGAAAACGAGTGAAGTCATAGCCGTGCATGGTGACAAGGAGGAAAGAGAGAGAAAGAGAGAGGGAGAGAGAAAGAAGAAGAGAAAGGAAGAAAGAGAGTCAGGTTCCTCGCGAGTGTGAACTCGAGCGGCGGAGCTGAGAGCCCCCCAGGGGCACCCCTGCCGTGATATCGACTCGCGGCGACACACTGTCTGCTGGTCCAATGACTTCACCTTCCAGCGCTTGTTATCGGTTCAGCGTCAACTGCTCACCAGCAGAGAGAAAGAAGTAAGATTAGCCGAGGGTACCGGGAACGACGGAAGTCTTATGAACGATGCGTAAGTCGTTCACGGCGAGCTTGTGACGCGAAAGCGAGGAGAGCTTGCGACAGATGCGACATCTCGCGATTTCGTTTACGTTTCGCGAAGAAACGATTTCCCAGGGGATAAAAGAGATAAAAGAATTTATCTCAAAGAGATAAAAGAATTATTGAACACGAATTTATCCGTTACTTTCATGTCTTCGTCATTTTGATTCCATTCTGTTCTATTCTGCGCGTCTGGAAGGCCCCCGTCGCCGTGACGCGTTGGCGGTTCATCGTACGTCCTTGCACGCCGCCTGTAATCCTAAAAGTCCGAGTGCTCGGACTGTTTGCGATTCGTCGCGAACGCGACAACGGACAACGCCGGCGTCTTCGCGCGTGCACGGTCTCGCCGGTGTGTACGTGCAGGAATCGGATAAAATATCGGAAGCGGAGGATTCCAATAAATCAGAATCGGAAGCTGCCCCTCTCCACTGTGCGTGGGCACCTATACGCCACACGCGGGCGCACCGCCTGCATACTAAAGCCCAGACCGGATACACAACCTGCCAGTGCATGTACTCGCCTCGATACATACGACATATATCTCCCACCACGGTGCGCTATCGCGCCACGACGTTCATTTGCATCGCACCTCTGCACGATGACACTTTCCGAACGCGCGTGACCGTCACCGTGGATCCTTGACCGGCTCCATCAAGTTGTTAAAACTTTCCGGAACGAGCGAGACAACGTCAATATCACACGCGTCACTTTCACCGTAAACGCTCGCCCGAATGACGTTGTGATACAGCATTAACCCTTCATCAGGCACATAGTCCACAAGTGTAATTTGAAGGCTGCATGTCTCATTAGTCATCGTTTCTTGTAATATACAAAGCCTATTGATTATATTATATGCATTTTTTAAAAGAACACATCTTGAGTATACATATACATGGAAAAAGATATTTCCCGCTAATAAATCTGAATTTTCCGATGTGACAAGAATCAGATGAAAAACTAGACTGTACATGAAGAGAACATTGATAATTCTTTTCTTCGTATAAATTCTTTTTAATTTTACTATGTTTATAGTAGCCCAGTAACAGGCTGTTGTCAGTAAAGTCTACCTTGTTACCTAACACTATAAATTTTGCTAGAAAAATAGTTTTAATACAGAACATATTAGTTCCTAAGATACAAGTAGCACATATGAATGCAAAAATAGTGAATTATTATGTCGATTTATTTCTCGATGACAAAATCCTTTATAGCAATTTTTATTATAAAATTTTCTCTTTTGTGTAGAAAAAATGCCTGAAATCTTGGATAAGAAATTTTTCGCGTTCGAGGTAATAAAAATGTCATTACACGTGACTGAATCTTCATCTGGTTCTTATTCAGTTGTCCGAATCGGGATTTTCTTCTCGTGTACAGCGCTAGACCAGGTGTCCAAAGGAAGGTTAAAACGGCACACACCTACTGAAAGGTTAACGACGACGCACTTCCGACATCCTACATTAGGAAAGGCTAAACGATCCGCCTGACTAATGTAGTTCTTCACTACCGGACATTATCGACGGAATCCAGGAATTATCATTAGGATTCTAACTAAATCAAGAAACTTTATTTCCATCCTTGCTCGTTTATCCGCTTCGCTCTCGTGGAACGCGTCATGCTCGCGAGCGACTCGATCGGCTCTTGAGGCCGTCACACCAAAATTTTATAACTTATAATAAGCGGTGCAGTCGGCGAGGCCGCGCTAGAAAAAGGACTGAAAGACTAATTGATTTTGACGGATCCTCGGCAGCCAGCGCCGCGCTCAGACCGTACCAACTCTTGCCAGCCTACTTCCTGCCGGCTTCCAGAGCTCGGTTTTACGATTATTCGTGCCCCAGTGTGGCCGACGAGACTTTTACGAGGCACAAAAGACCCACGCCACAGATTTGTCCGCCACCAGTGGTTATTAGCGACAACAATTTCTTTCATACCGCCCTTTTTTGTTTCGTTTCACCACCTTTCCCTTCGCCCCCGTCCACCCTCTTTGTCGCAGTTGATCTTTCTTTCCTTCTCGCGTTTGTGTATTCTGCCGCGTAAAAGTGTGAGGAAAATCCAAGTGCCTCGGAGCGTAGAGCGAGGATCGGGACGGTTGTTTGTCCAGCTCCGCGATATAGCGCGCGATTTCGTTTGATCGTCGCGTAGAAAACGGCCAATCGCCGAGGTAATCGATTCTCGGGCGGAATGAGAGCCACCGTGCGAATGTAAGCGACACGTCGTAAAACGCACGACGATGGAAACGAGTTCCCTTCGGCACTTGAAAGGAGAAAAGGCGAATTCGATGGAGAGGCGAACTCCCGCTAATGTATTTATTACAAGACCGTTCTCGCACGAAATTATCGTAAAATTCGATTTAATTGCCTATCAGGCCTCCCGCTTATATGCCATACGTCCGCGGAGCTTCGCGGTAGATATCGTTATTTCGGTATTATTAGCAATAACAGCCAATGACGCAATCGACGGGTCTCCCGACCCGTACGCGCGTATTTAATATTTTTCGATACAAAGTGATGGGCCGGAAAGATATCTTTGTATCCTGCCGGAGGCTTTCGTAACGATCGGGGCGTGTGTGAGAAGGGCCGATCGTCGATCGGCGCACGAGTGCCCGCAGGTAACCCACGAGATCGAACATACCATAACGAGGGAATGAATTTAATGAATGACTACTGCGACGCCGCCTTCCATCCGGACTATCCTCGCGAAAGCCACGAATCAACGCCGCCGTTGCGTTGTCTTCAGAATTTGTCATCACACGTATTTATTTTTTGCAGGCAACGTACGCCATGAATTATTATGCGAACAGATATTGTTTCTCATATACTTGTCCAAACCTCACAGATGATATATATATAGAAGATACATATAAAGAAAATATATATATCGGAAATAGCATCTATATAATTGATATTAGTAAAACGGTATGTGTCTGACGATCAAAGATATACTTGTGTTGGTGAAGGTGCATGCAACGCGTTCATCTGTTATCTGCCGCGAACACTTGCTTCGAGATGCATGACCGATGACGTTGAGTCGTCTTTCCGCATGTAAACGCCGCCAGCATGTGCCGTATTAAACCTTTGAGTGCGTAGCACACTCCAAAGCCAAAGGCTCACTATGAGAGACACGTGGCCCGTGAATGCTTATTCGCGTATCGCGTACTATTGTTGTATTCGTCCTTCGATCTGACTCTTTACTTATATCATTATCTTTTCTCTTGTAATAATTTATTTTTTTTTTAATTAGTTCTCTCTTGCGCAATATTTTAGTATATTACAAAGATGTTTATATAAAACAATATAATATGTTATACACAATTCAACTGCAATATCGCGTTGAATGTAAGTCAATCGGTGAGAAAACATACCACTTGAAAAGTCGTAAGTGAAAGTTCGCTTATTAACGTCGTTGAGATACGTAAAAGGAGCACGAGCATATACACTCGTCGCAACAATTGATAACTGTTGCTTGTGTCGAAAATACATGCTGAAGAAATTCTCTCATCGGACGCATACATGTATCCACCGCACTCAAAGGGTTAACACGTTTATCTTGGTTTGAGTCCTTGATTGCTCGAGCGACGCCTTTGGTTCATCACAAATGCTTTCCATTGTGTAAAAGCTTTCATAATTCCGTGCAACTGGCTACATAACGCAAAGCTTACAAAACGAAAACGATATCTTATCAGCTAAGTTTTCAATGCCAGCATTTGCTTAAAGTCTAACAAATGGATTGAGATGATCATCAATGGAGAATTACATTAAATGTCACGATATCATAAAGAAATCTGAGAAATCGAAATTTAGGATTCAGTGTATGTTTTGTAAGTATATATTTATACATTTAATAATGCTTTTTGAGTTACACGTATTATTTCATTGACATCTGCCTTCTTTTCATTTTTTATCAAAGAGTTACAGAGAGCTGTTGTAACAAATATAAATTTTAATTTTTATCAGTGCACGGCATTATTAGACGCACAAATATTATCTTTGCTCTTATAATTTCTCCCTCTTTGCCTCTTTTAAATCTTATCGAAATTTCTAACGTGGGAAAAAAATGAAAGTAGTAAATTATACAATTAATATATTGAAATTAAAAGTAAAAATTATATGCAGATAGGGAGAATTAGGTTTAATATCGCGAATATTAAATATTTCGAAAAGAAGTCTCTCGAAAAATCAACATGAAGAAGTTTGTAGCATCAAGGTAGGACAACAGCTCGCATTTTATCTTGAGATACTCTATTGATCCTTCAGGTTCAAAAGAACCTGTGGAGTTGACGTAAGCTAAAGCTTCGACACGCTTCTCTCATTCCCTGTTTCCTTCACACCTCTCCCGGTTCGGCTGGATGATTCATAATGACTCGTTCGATGTAAGCGATCCCTGATGGGACAATTAGCGTGTCTCGACCGGCGGCCGGGTTTCCAAGTAGTTTCCGAGTAAAGGACTAATCCGACTTTTGTTAGCTGACCCATCCCGGTATTCCCGAAAAGTCAGCGTGCCGCCGCCGCTGCCGTTCGAGCCACGCGCCACTCGCGCGCATCGAGGATCACGAGACCGTGCGAGCGTTACTCATTCGGCGATTCGCACGGTCGCGTACCAGGAACGAGGGATATCGGGAGACTGATCGCGTACGAGATGTTACACGACGTGTATAATCGGTGACTAAACACGCGGAAATCCATCCAGCGAGTCGTCGCTCCGACCTCGCGTTAACGCGAGAAATTAACGCGAGCGACGATGCTGGCGCAATCGCGGCTACTTGGAAACGTAATGAGAACGCTGCTTTCCCGCTCTTTTCGCAAAGTAACAATACACAGCGACGCGGACACGACGAAATGTCGAAATTTTTCGTTATACACCCGTAAACAGAAAGGCTCGCCCGAAATTTCTCGGATGAGCTTGTGAACTTTTTTAATGGGAGAATCTCCCATTGAATAAGACGAATAAAAGTTCACAAACTCATTTCAAAAATTATGGACAATCTATCTGTTCACGAGTATACATCGTGTATTGAGTAGATCGCATGTTTCCGCTTATGAAAGTTTCCGATCGAACTGTGGAAGTGAGATAGAAGGAAGAAGGAAAGAGAAAAAGAGAGTGACTGGGACCGAATTATTCATAAATTGTACTAACGCGCGATTAATTTTTTTCTCTTTTCTTTTTTATATATAATCACGTTGACTCTTGGTCGGAGCAGTGAGAGTCTGCGCGTATGCATGTCACGTAGTATTACTTTATATACTACGGATCCACTCGGGCGCGCAACGAGTGTGAGATACGCGAAACGACGTAGCGATAACGCGACACCCACGCACGATAATTTTTCTCATATTTCCGCGGAGTTATGCATACTGAGAGGACGACGATACGGAAACCCGATAGTGCTCCGTGTCCTTCTTCGCGGCCCCTTTTTCGAGCGAAATGAGGTATCTAATCGCGCCCACGTTTGTCTTCCTCGATCTTACAGCTGGAGCAGATTCTCTTAAGTAGCAACGCGGCGTTCAAATCGACCTGGGATGACACCCGCTACGATTGGCTACCTGGGCCGAAAGAGATACCCAAGATGTTGGGAGAGAAACTCGATGAAGCATATCTCGAGACGTTGACCGTACGTATAGACCGATTACGTTATTTCGTGTCGCTTCTCCGCGCGAAACCGTCTGACACTCTATCAATGATCAACAATCATAACAGAAACGATTTTGTGAAGATAGTTCATTCGATGGTTATTTTCCGCAAAGCATACGACGCGACATATGTATGAGTGCAATGTTATCGTATATATTACTTATAATCAACAACAAACAATAAATATATTATTTATAATCAATAACAAACGTGCTTGTTTCATTTTTAGATCGACACAACTCTTCAAAACACGTATGAGTACCTGCAAAAATTCGCAGTGGGTATAGAGCAGATCGTCTGGGAGCAACGCGACACAGGGGGTCGCTTTAGCAAGCATTTCGAGGATGTCGAGGACCAACTTCGATCGGTAAGTTCATTTTCTAGATCAAATCTCCGTTATCTCGCTTCCTCTTTATTTTTCCATTTCTCTTAGTAATTACGTCAAACCACGAATTTTCGGATTATCGCTCCTCTGCAACGTGTGGAAAAGAAAAACTGTGACTTTCACAATAGCGACAGCTAACAGAGCACAATTGACCTGAATTATTTCGCCTTCCGTTGTTGTAAGGGTGATAAAAAGCGTTTTGCCAAGTTTTACGAGCGTTTTACGTAAAGGTAGAGACGTTAAAGATCGTCGCTGAAAGACAAAACTACCATTTTATCGACCATTCCGACGAATAGCTTTCGGTGCGTTCCTATCGTGGTTTCCTGTGTTTTTTCTATTTTCTTATTTACTCTCGATATGCATCACCGACGTCGCGAGCTGATCTTGAGAGAGAGCTTTACGAGAGGCAGCTGCTGCTCGTCTGAAAGTGATCAGGAACGTTCTCACGTTGATTTTTCACGCGACATGTTTGGCGCAACGAGACATGCGTTTCAGATTAATAATTATAGCATTTCCCAAGGATCGAGAAATCATAATCACGCACGCAAACCTATCAGTCTATCTCTGATATCTCGACGTATCTCTTTTTCAGATTCTCTGCGAGGTGCAAGTCGGTTTGGTAGAGCGCGGGACACCGTTACCAAAAGACGTCTCGCGATCTATTATGCCGGACGAGCAACGCTCCCTCTCCTCGCAGACCGAGCGGAATCTGCGAGCGTTCATCATCTACCGGGATTACGTGAACTTTCTGGAATACATACAACAAGTCTTTATGTATTTGAGAAATAAAGCGTACACCTGAGGATTCCAAGGCGAAAGTAGAAGAAGGGTTACGAGGCGACGACTCACCCATTTCAGGGCAGCGGCACAACCGCAACTACCCCATGTTCTGCTGACTTGAGATGGTTGAAGGAGGAGGGTGGCAAAAATCCAAGAAGATCCTTCCGATTATATTTTTTCTCGTCGGAAGGACGACTTTCACAAGTCATGACGGTGCAAGGAAGCCGAGCGATTCGTGATTGGTACCGACGACGACGACGATGATCCATCGAATTGTCGTGGAAACCGACGGATGTACGCCACGTAACACACGTCGTCACGATCGTCCGTCCGATCCAGCACGATAACTGCGAGACAGAAGTCATACGGCAGCCATTGTCGAGTCTTATCATCCACCGTCCTCCTTCGACACTCCCCGATAGAACATGTCAACATTAAGGGTAAACTGATTCGCGTCGTTATTAACCCACTCGCTTTCGCCTGCAACTTGCGTTTATTTATACGTACATTATCACACCCTCACAAGTAGCATATGTAGCATGGCTTCGGTGCGACGATGCGCCATAACCGTAACTGCGAGCATGCTTAACGATTCTCGATATCGCGCGAAGACGAAAGCAACAGGTTCGAGCTGTTCAAACGAAAATAGTCCTGCACGCGACGACGAGACATCGCGGCGTTACTCACATCTTAGGAACGTGATACCTGTTGTTCTCGATACCACTTTCGACGGTTTCCAACTGTCCATCAGACGGGATCGTGCTTGACGCAACGCGCAGTGCTTCAAGCAGGATCGCGGTTCAATGTGCTTTCTCTATCAGTAGCCTGAGGCTCTTAGCGATACCTCTTTAAACGAGCAAGCCGATTGCAATGAGCACTATGTACGAGCGACCCATGTGAGATCGAAGCGAAACTGTCTCGAGAAGCGCTTGCCGAATATAGCTTGAAATTCAGCGGGGATCTAATGAACGATCTCACGATTATCATCGTGACATCGTGACATTTTGCTCGTGCTACTGAAATCCACGGTAGATCTTAGCAGCGGCTTGTCTTTTCGCCTTTCGCGCGTGTCGCAGAAAATCTCAAGTCGAATAGTCCAGTGCGATCACCTGGACAATGTTTTCATTCGCACGTGTCTCGACACTTGGCCACTTGTAATATCTGATATTAGGTATTTTTCTTTGTGTGCCTCAAGAGTGTATAGTAGAAAGTAACTATGGGTTGAAGTGTACGATATAGTTATGTTTATATGTAGTATAGAGAGAAAAGAAGTCAATCGTAGCGTCGGTTGGGTTCCTAATCAAACGCAGTATTCACGCCGTAATCCGGGCCACTCGTGATTCATGAATAGAGAAAATCGCGCGTATACGTGTGCACACTGTGCACACACACACACACATACACACACACACATATACATGAGAGTGTCACGAACGACATCACTAAAGAGGTATTTCTGCGCGAGCACACAATTCATACGCTCCCTACTACCCTTCCCATAAAAATCCTACATAATAATTTATTGACTCCGTAATATTAGTATATATTTATATTTATTCAGATTATTTATTTTATTTTTATAAAGGTTTTTTTTTACACGTCCGTATTGTATTTAAAGTTTCTAGTTGAGCTTAAAAGTGACTAGCGTACAGAAGAACATATCTCTTTCTCTCTCACATGTAGTTAAAACTATTAATATTATTATTACAATATCACACTCTGGATGGTGGTGCGCGCGTCCATCGCGCGTCTATCTACACAGAATATGAAGACTCGATACTAACTAGAAACTTTACGAGGCTCATAAATTCCACAATTCCGATCACTACTACTTTGCACGCAATGACATGCCGCTAATATTGCGTTTTACTCATGTTTGACACTGGTTTTTTTAATAAATATTCTTTTACACGATCATTTTTTTTAGAGATATCGACTTTTTTGCTTTCGATTTAGCGATACGCAAGACTGTTAAAGACTGTTGGCTAAAGGGGCACGTCGCCAGATTCCCTTTGTTGTGTATGACTTTAATCTAAGTTTAGTCATAATTCTCTATCTGTGACGTTGCGTTACGATTGTCGGACATATCTTTATACACACGTACAATGTATATTTTTATACTCTATCGTCGAGTACGAACGACGAATCAAAGAATATATCTCGTAGCACACCCTAGAGCCGACAGTCTCCGAAAGTGATAAAACGGAAGAATATTGTTGGTACTTATTATGTCACTCTGGAAAAGTCACTGTCCGATCATCTATCAAATAAAAATGCATTCTGATGTTATATCGTCATTAATTCTCTCCTCAGTAGCGGCCCGTAAGCTTATCATAAATCATACGTACAATTGCCTTCATGGGTGTGCAGTTATCATTTTAATGCGAAAATCGTTATTTATATGCACACGTGCAATGCGTTGAATGTATTTTTTTGTTATCGTATCATCGCGTCTGTGATATGCATCGTAGAGTATCTCCAATCTGATTCATTGTTTATCGTCGGATCGACAGATTGTTTGCTTCCGTTTCGAGATAAAAAAGGAGACAGAAGAAAGGGCAATAAAAACAGAAAGAAAGAATGTCTCTCTCATATGTCTTCAATCGATCTCTGCGTCCCTTTTCCAAACTTGTACAGTTATATAATTATGGAACGCACGGACAATTTAAAGGCATGGGAAATCATACACGATCTTAAACATTTCGGTTAATAATAAAATTAATTAATACTATTAAGTGTAGTATTTATTAATTTAGAAATGCACATATATAATTAATTTATTACTAATGAATCAATAGCATATGTAAAAATACTATTTTATTATGTAATATATAATATAATTAGAGGAGTGAAGATGAGTATCACTATGAGATCTTATGAAAAAAAGATTGAAGAATAACGCGTAACAAAATTTTCTCTCGAAGTGGTGCGTTCCATAAACCTTGCGATACAAATAAATTAAATGTACATCAGCCATCATTTTTGTGTATACACACATACACACACACTGTATATAGATCAATTCGATAAAATAGTATAATATAGTGATAAGATATAGACTATAAAATTACATGTGGATATGTAATATGCATACGGACTTCTCTCTTCAGAATGTCCGCTCTGTTGTATCATATTAAACCAAAGACCACTCAACATCGAGTGCTGTTATTGTTTCAACTTACCATCTCCTCCATTTTTCCTTCCTAATGCCATTACACTCTGTATAATTAATTATAAAAAAAAATTCATTCTCAAAAGCGGTTTAGAACGCGGAACACCATCACGACAAAATTTGTCGGCACATGTACATATTTCTACAATGAGCAATCACGTAAATAAAAAAAGCTTATTTTATTTTTAGATTGACATGATTCTCCAAAACACTTACGAGTATCTACAAAAATTCGCAACAGGTATCGAAGAGATAATCTAAAAACTAGGGATCTCTTTGGTAAGCACTTCGCGGATGTTAAAACCGACTTCGAATAATCAACAACGATAATAATGAACAAAATTTATATGTTGATATACACAAGTTGCTAAACATTTTCAGCAGGTTAATATTTCAAATCTTCTGTGAAATGCAAGTTAATGGAATGGAGGATACCATTACCGAGAGAGACATCCCGCAACCTATTATACCAGATGAACAATGCGTACTTATCTGACAAACCGAATGGCATCTCCAAGCGTTCAACATCTATGAAGATTTTGTGAACTTTTTGGAATATAAATAACAAGGCTGGCTGTATTTAAGAAATGTTACGTGAGGATTCCAAGACGCAAGTAGGAGAAAGGTTACTAAATGACGACTCAGGTAATCCACAGCAACAATACAAGTTTCTCATATCTTACTAGCTTGAGATCGTTGAAGGAAGAAACAATAGCATAATTAACGGTTCTCTATGTCACGTCAGAATGCAAGCAACAGATTCAACCGCCCGAGTTCTCCAACGAAAATTCTGTCACGATAATTTCAAGTATGATCGTCGTCCAAAATGCTTTCTAATCAATGATTTGAAGTTCTCAATGATATTTATACATGCACATAGTTTATAATAGACACTTGATATTAAGATTTTATTAACTAATTAATAGTAACTATTATAATTAAGATTTTATTAAATTTCATTAATGCTATTAACGAGACTTATTTGTGTGTGGGACTGAAACAACGAATACTACAAGCGATGCTTATTAAAAATAACTCGAAATTCCGCCGAAACCCAATAAACGATTTCACGATTTCATCTTCACGTCTTTTTGCTATTGAAATCTACGGTAGATCTCAGCAGCGTTCTGTCTTTCTGCCTTCCGCGTGACTTCTCGTACGGTTAGAAAATAGTCGCAGATACAAGAGTTTGCTGAAGAGTCATATAACTGCGAAGTCAACGACTTTGGCTTGTTTATTCTCTTTGACATATTCGCGCAAACGAGCATAGGTCCATCTTGAGGATACGTCTTTCTAGTGACGTGTGTGTTTCACGGACATTTTATGATTTATCGTTAAGCGAGCATATCAATAAGAGACGACTGTCATGATGATGGGCACGCGTTGCCCGAGAGCATTCGAGTCGCGCATTCCGACTTGAGCAAACGGGATTTGTCTTTTCCCATGATCAGTGTCCGATGTCGTGTCTGGAGCTGTCGACGTTGTCGATGTTTGAGAGGAAACGCGTAAGTACATGATGATCGGCTCGAGCATGGCTCTGTCCCGAGCCGCCGTGTTTGCGCACGCTGTTAGCTCGTTGTCATCGCCCGTCCAACTTACTTTCTCATAAGGATTTCCACTTCTCTCGTACTGACCCTGTGTTTGACGATCCCTGTCCGCCTTCCCTTTCATGCCCTCGTCCAGATGGTCCCCTGAGCGCCGCAAAGGTGTCAATGTTTTATCTAGCCATTAAGATCGTTAGCTCATCTTCCTATGCGGCGTTTGACGGCGGGAGGACGATACAATTTTTCTATAGGAAAACGAAGCCTCTCTAAAATAGCGAGATACGACGTTCTCGAAAAAAAATTTTCTGCTACTCGATATATAGAAATCAAATCATTTTGTAAAACCAAGAACTAAATATGACACGGAGAACAGTAGCCGACGAGTCCTCCGTAACTGAATCCGAAAAGTCCGGAATGTACACTGAGAAGAAACACTTCAAATTTTACTCGTGGCATACAAAGTTTATTTCTATGAAGCAAGATTTATTTTTGTGAAATAAAACTTATTTCTGTGAATAAATCTGAATATGTACCACATGTAAATTTTCAAGTATTTCTTCTCAGTGTACGAGAAATTTACGGAAACGAGGAAGTGCGCGTTGTAGAAGAGAGGCTCCCTTCTTGCCTTCGCCGTCGGCGCATATAGGGATCGTCGATCGAGTCTCACACGACGAGATATGAATGAGCCGTGAGAAGAGACCGAAAATATATCGGTCGGCGCTATGAATGGCTGCTGAAAACCGCGGCGCTTTTTTTCACCAGAGAGCGCGCACTACGGTTCTTCTCCTCCATTCCTACTCCGATCCTACACCATTCTTTGGCTCATCCTTGCTTGTTCGCTCGTCGTCAATGACGGCGGCGATGTGCCGGCGATCCTTTTGCACTTTGCTCCAAATGAGTCCCGAGAGCGGTTCGTCTAGGCCCCGCCGCTGCCCCCTACCTGCCATCGCCATCGCCATCGCCGCGGGCAAATACTTCGGCTCCTTTCAGCTGGAGGAAAAAATAAAAGGCCTCGTTGTAATTAGGACAGTGCGCCCGCATCCCGCTGTTAGAGGGAGTCTCCGCTACTCGCCGTCTCCATTCTTCTTCATCACCCGCTATCTGACTCGCCCTGTCCTCCTCCGATCTTCCGTCTCGCCGCTATCCTCGAATGCCCGAAGGCGTCCTCCCGCTACATTCCTAGTGACCATCAAGACAACTTTCAGTAATGTCGAGACAAGAGGCTCCCAAAGCTGAGTGGTCCTCGGAGGATCACCCGTGGCATCCTTGGAAACGGATCGTCCGTTATATCGACTACGTGTGACTCGAGCGGACGTGTTTCGTTCAAGAACATAACGATCAGCGCCGCGCCCTCGAATAATTATCGCGTTCGCGAAAGTTGTCGCACTTTTACACGAAGCAAAAACAGAGAAAAAATACATTATATGCGCGCTATAAAAGTGCGGGAGCCACGAGTAATCGTGAATCTAATTCTCAGCAACGACAATTTCACGCTCGCCATGTTTACTTTTTGCAAAATATTAAGGGTCAACTTTCCAACAATAGTTTAAATTTAGATTCAAGTCTAAACTTTATTGCAATAATGTGTTTGATGACTTAAACAGAGTTTAAACTCAACTTTAAGTTTAAACTATTATTGTGGAAAATTGGCTGTGAATATTTTGCAAAAGGAGAAATATCACGAGAGTGAAATCCGCGATTACTCGCGCACATTTACGCGTACACATGTAATTTTCTTTTCATACATCAATCGCGTCCGATCAACTTTCCTTTTCTCGATGACGCCGAAGGTGTGCGAACCGTCGCAAAAGTCGTCAATCCGAACGATCGGAGGACTATGAGCTTGGCACACGGTCATCCTTAACTGCTGTTGATTGAGGGGCGGTACCGTACTAATAGGTTCTATCCCCCGCCCTCCTGCCGCGGATACCACGTTCTAAAACAGACTAGATTTATTTCACGACTAATTTCGCCTTGTTAGTCGACAGGACGTGGCTGGTACAAGGGGTTCTCTATTCGTGCTTCGTGAGCGAAACGCGTGCACGTCCCTCATCGGATCTTAATAGGTATTAATGGTGACTTTGCATCAAGCTGCCCGGCGCTTTCGAGACACGCGTGTTTTGCGTGTTCGGCTATAATTCCTCTCGTAATGTGTACCCGGAGCGAGTCGAATCATTTCGCAACGCATACGAAACGTACAATTTCCGTCGTGTTATGTTTCTGTCCAAGAAATCTGCACGTGTGATTTTCTCAGCGTTTCCTTTTTGTTGAAGGAAGGATACAATCAATGTGTGTGAAAGAAATACTAAAAGCGATATACATTTATTAAATGAGCCGTGTCGCCCAAAGAGCCCAGTCTTGACAAAGGAATAAGCTATATCGATTATATTTATTCTTTCCGATGTCAACACCTCAAGACAAGGCCGTCAAAGAGAGTGTCAGTCAAAGGTGGGCCATACAAAAATATGTTCTCGCACATTTTCGTCGAGAACGTGTGCCCGCAGCTATATATCCCATGTTAGTGACGCGGTTTCCTTCTGTCCAACGGCGAGAGAGATTTCAGAGAAAAGAGGTACCGTTCGTGGGAACCATGAGACAGCTTCCTAGAAGAATGAGCGAGGCAGATATCGGTCGGAGAAAAAGCGAAAGAAGCGAGAAATGAAAAAAAAGAGGGAAAGGAGATGTAGAGCCCCGAGAGTGGAGAAGGGCGCTCGGCATTATGGAAATGCCGCTCTTTCGCAACATCGGCATTGGCCACGTACGCAGGAATCGATGTTCCTACCGCAGCAGCAGTATAATACGGAGGACCCGTTTTCGACCAGCTGTTTCAGCCGAACGAGATGCATTTTGTCGCGAGATAACACGCGGAGAACGATTCGGGCGCGTGGGTGGGACGGCGATAACCGGTGAAACACATGAACACTTTTAACAGCTAATTGCCATAGATAGGGACGACGAGAGGAAGAGTGAAAAGAAAAATAAGAGAGAGAGAGAGAGAGAGAGAGAGAGAGAAAGCGAGAGGGAGAGAGGAAGAGTGAGAAGTTGGTCGTGGAGCCGCTTATATTGTCGGTCGTTCTCGCGAAATGCATGGGAACCAAAGCCATATTGAGCGATGAGTGCGTCATCGTCATCATCAGCGTCCATGTCGTGGATACGCGCGACGCGGGAATCCGCGGGTGATCCGCGGGTGATCCGCGCGGAGATTGATCGAACGCAGTCACTTTCGAAAGTCGCCGGTGTGCGTCCGCGAAAGAGTGACTTCTCGTGTCGCCTTGTGACACAGTGCTCTCGTTTAATGCGTGTCACTTAACTGTCATCCAGAAGAGATATTTGTGAATATCGCACCTCTGCAGTGAGAAAGTAATTTTGATAGCAGGACACGTTTCTTTTGAATGCAGGACGAAGTTATATTATCGGCTGATATTGTCGAAAATGCA